TCAAAACAGTATTCGAAAACAAGAGTAAAAAACAAATGCATGATGATAATAAAAACAAAAAACAAAAAGAATAAACTGCGAACATTTAGACTGCTAAAGAAAAATTGCCAGTATGAAAATTATCTAACAACAGCAACATATGCAAAACATAGAGTAGCATTAACAAAATTGAGAATTAGCACCAATAATTTAGAAATTGAGAATTAGCACCAATAATTTAGAAATTGAGAATTAGCACCAATAATTTAGAAATTGAGAATTAGCACCAATAATTTAGAAATTGAGAATTAGCACCAATAATTTAGAAATTGAGAATTAGCACCAATAATTTAGAAATTGAGAATTAGCACCAATAATTTAGAAATTGAGAATTAGCACCAATAATTTAGAAATTGAGAATTAGCACCAATAATTTAGAAATTGAGAATTAGCACCAATAATTTAGAAATTGAGAATTAGCACCAATAATTTAGAAATTGAGAATTAGCACCAATAATTTAGAAATTGAGAATTAGCACCAATAATTTAGAAATTGAGAATTAGCACCTACAATTTAGAAATTGAGAATTAGCACCAATAATTTAGAAATTGAGAAAGGACGATACAAAAAATTCCTTACAGTGGTAGAAAGTTCACTGCTTGTGACCAAAATGACTTTGAAGACGAAATGCATTTCTTACTTGAATGCAAGCTGTATGAAAATGAGAGAACTGAAATGTTGAAGGAAATAAATTTAATACATTGCAACAACACACATACCAATAAATTGATTACAATGCTAATAAGAACTTAAATGAACTTAAGGTAGAGATGCAGTTAATTTGGCTTGCTTTTTAATTGAGTAATTAGACAATGAAGATGGTATTATATATCCAACATGTTATATATTTTCTGAAAGCTTATTATACAAACTTTGTAAAACTTGTCTTTATTTTAAATATCCAGAATGCGTTTTTGATTTTGGGTCAAAAATATGCTTTTTTGGACAAAAGTGGTTTAAAAAAAATTAGCTTAAAAACTTCAAGTCCGTTTGTGGGTAAAGTTACATCACTGGATACCTTGGTATACTACTAATTCAAATGCGTCCACTCATCTCTCTAACGGCTTTCAAAGTCGCACAGTATGACCTCAAAGTTCACTCTTTTCTATTTTT